TGGAAGTGCCGCGGGCACATAGAGATGTGGGTAGAGGAAGCCTCAAAAAGCGAAGGCCGAGCTGTAGGTCACGTGACCTGCACCGAGTTGGTGGCTGACTGGGCTTTTTCCTTGATCAAAGCAGATCAGCTCGCCTTCTTCTTATCCAAAAGTCAGTCGAATCGGGCGGCCCCCTGCCGCCTATTCCAACTGTTTAGGAGCGGGATCCGCCCAAGAACGACCAGTATTGTGGTGGTACGGAAGGCACGGACTCCGCGAACGTCCCGCGCCCCTTTACGGAAAGAAAGTCTCAACCAGAACCACATTCCTTTTGCGTGCGGATGTAGCTAAGTGTCTGACTCTATTGGTCAAAGTTTCCTGCTGTTGGGGCCGGTGCTCGTTTGCGCGCGCGTGAACCAACCCAACAAAAGGAAAGGATGCCTCTCGGGGCATCTGAGAATGATTCGAGCTGTATGAAGGGAAACTCTCACGTACAGTTTGTTCTTTTTTTTGGGGGGGGAGGAGCCCGACAGGGTCCCCCCACTGACTTGGCCCCGGCCTAAGTGAAAGTGAAGTGGTGGGCCTACCCATCCCAACCAGGGGTATGCTGGGATTCGCGAAGAGCAGCACCTTACGATGTTCATGACCAATTGGATCCTGACGTACCAGTAGGTACCAGAGGAGATCGCTATGATCGTTACTGTATCCGTATTGAAGAGATGCGACAAAGTGTTCGGATCATTGTGCAATGTCTTAATCAAATGCCTAGTGGCATGATCAAAGCCGATGATCGTAAGCTATGTCCTCCATCACGATGTCGAATGAAACTATCCATGGAATCGTGCGCCGTGTGAAACGTAGATTATCGCCGTTCTTAACCGAGACTCAGGTTAAGCTCCGTCTCGGAACCTTGTGGGGTTAGGAGTAAAGCATCCCGAGGTTGGCGCATCTCGTTGGGCGTGGAGAAGCATTGGGAACCCCAATTTCTTTCTTCGGAGCCGTTTCTTTTCCCGTCCCCCCGCCCCGGCATAGCGCTTCGCTCCCGGTTCGTCGGAAGAATCAACTGACTTCTCCCTTCTTCATTGATCTGGGGGAAAAGAAATCATCTACCAGTTGGGAAGCTAGACATCAAGTAAGTGGCTTGATGAGGATAACTAAGCTGACACGCCGGAGTTGGCTGCTGGCACAACAGGGTGGTGCCTTACCGCACCGCAGGCGAACGCGCGGTAGCGTTCGTGGTGGTGCTTCAGGATTCCAATGTACTGCGTCCAAGATCAGAACGAGCTTGCCGGTGGACCACTGCCGTCCCATTCTTGAGTGAGCTGGAGCGCAGCCATCTTATCCACTGAACTAGCTAGAAGCTATCGCTTCGGGTCGAAGCACTAAAAGAAAAGGCCCGGGAAACGCGGCGGCATAGGAAGCACGGGACCCCCTACTAGTAAAGGGAAAACGGAAGTGCGCTCCTGCGCACCAGCGGAAAAGGCCCTTTCCCCTTTCTCTAATAATAAGGTAAGCTTCATAGCTCCAACCTATACTAAGGACTTTGGTTGCCCTTAGTATAGGTTGGGTTGCTGGATACGGGATCCTCGTAGTAGGCTGGACCAACATCCAGCCGAGAGAGGGCAGCCTTTAGAAGCAACAGGTTGGGAAACCAAGAGAACGCTTCGCGTTTTCTTATCTTCTTCCCGCCCTAGGAGCAGGAGTAGAACAAAAAGAGGGATTAGATTGACCCAATGATAAACCACTAACACCTTCCTCGTTGGGGCTCCGGGCACTGGGAAAAGAAACGGCTCTAGCGACGGGAAACCGGCCACTAGTTACAAAGCTCAAGGTATCGAGAGGGCTATCACAGTCAGGTGCGAAGCAATTACCCCCTATTTGTAAAGTACCCCTCTTCATATTTAGGGGGTTGAGGCGAGAAATGGCTTGATGAACCCTTCCCTTCGCCACGCACCGGCCCCATTCACTTGCTTATCGTGGAGGCTGTAAGTATACAGTCCCCCACAACTATTCATAGTATAGTGGGGTTGAAACACGAGAGTGCCCCCCCCATTCTTTCAAGTAGGCCACCTTTTCCGGAACGCAGTCCGGGATAACCGTGACCGTGTATATATATATAGATCTATATATATTTTCGAAACTGTCATTTCGAAATGTCCGCTTCAACCGCTGTTTCACCTCCCAAAAGCAAAGTTGGCTTGACAAGCGCAGCGCAGATAAGAGGAAGCGGGAGCAATAAAACAAAAAATATCTTTCTTGTCCTTCTACTTAAGGGGCAAAGCAAAGAGAAGCGCTTTTGCTACTGAGAAAGCGAACGGTCAGCGCAAAGGTTCAAGACTTAACCGAGCGTTAGCGAAGCTAGATTCTCATAGCGAGGCGCTTCGAGTTAGCGAAGCGCTGTAGTAGCGCCGAAGCTCTATGTGCTATAATGCTGAGCCAAGGACGCTCCGCCTTATCTATAGAAGCAGTCAACTGAGTTCTGAACGAATTAGCTCCTTGGTAATGGCTAAATCTATAGATAGAAAGCCCTATGATGGGAAACTACCACGTTAGGTCTGGAGAGAGATGGGACCGGTTATATAATAATAGATAGGAGGAGCAGATGCAAGCTTTTTCTTTCAATAGCCGGTCAAATGACTACAGGATCATCGGTCTACTCTACCTCAATTCACCATTTCGAACTTTATACAGAAGGTTTTTCCGTACCAGCTCCTTCTGCCTATACTGCAGTTGAAGCACCTAAAGGAGAATTTGGTGTCTTTCTGGTCAGTAATGGAAGCAATCGTCCCTACCGTCGTAAAATAAGAGCACCTGGCTCTGCCCATTCACAAGGACTCGATTCTATGTCCAAACATCACATGCCAGCAGATGTGGTCACCATTATTGGTACTCAAGATATTGTGTCTGGAGAGGTGGATAGATAGGACTACTAGTTGCTCGATCAGGACCCTAGCTTTATTGCGAGCCAAAAACCTTGATGGACAAGGTTAAAAAGCCTAAACACCCGAACTCAGTCTTAGACTTAGAAAGTCCTAAATGAATAGGAACTTCTCTTGTTCACGCTTCTGATCCTAAGGAAGGGGTGACTGCGTTGTTTTCGTCTTATGTCGATACCCGCTATTGAGAGCCCTTTCAGGTTGTTGTTCTTTCGCTACGGTATGGTATATAGTAATGATTTGACATATCCCCATTTCTCTTGAGTGAGGTAAGTGAGGCGAGGGTGCTTACCTACTCTATCGAATTTTGCTATTCGAATAGGCTTTTTCAGTCCAAATGCCCTATAGCTATAGAAGGAATCGAACAAATAAAGTCTTTTCAGATCTATAAGCTGTGGGAAATGAAGTAGAGTTTTGTTTTCACTCGGCTTGAAACGTGCCGGACTAACCCATGTTATCCCCTGATCCAAGGGGAGTTGCTGATTTTAGTCTTTCCATCCTTGATGATGTGCTTCCTCCTCTTCTTATTTGCAGAAGTCTCAATGATTGGAGCTACGACATCGGCCTTTGATAGCTCATGATGGGGGATACTTGGTTGTTCTGGCCTTGCCATCGAAAGCACACTTTTTCCTCGATAAACGCCCTTACTTCTTTTATAGAATATCGCTTCTGCTGTTGTTGCTGCTGTTAACGGATTTCTTGCTTTCGCTACGCCCCTCCGCTTCACTCACTAGCTTTCGAGCTGCACTCCCTTGGGTGGGGTGTAATCAAGGTTTATCAAGTATAGAATCAGAAAATAGGCAGCTAATGAATCCCCATCTGTTGAAGTAAGTCCTGCTTCAAGTGTCCTAAGATCCGGAAGAAGTAGATTGGTTTGTTCACCGTTCAGGGGTGGAAGATTCAACATTAACTGATTGAGCCACAGCAACAACAGCTATAGGAGCAAATCTCCTTTAGGTTAAGCCGGTACCACACCACGAAAGCTCGAAGGTACGTCCCTTTCCCGCAGCTACCTTAATCAGTAGATAAAGGAAATTGAATCTGCTGCAATAGTCGAAAATGCTGCTAAAATAGAGGTAGTCTTGGTCCTTGAGTAAGGCCCTTGAGCAAGGATATCAACACAAACAAAATAAAAGGGAACACGAAGAGATAAAACGATTTCCTCTTCTTAAGATAGGGCGCATTTTAATACACCCACTCTAAGAGCGGAGGGGATTCTTTCTAAGGGAAACCAAACCCCTTACTACAACGAGGGACATTCATTCACTGACTATCTTTCAACAAGGTTTAAGAAAAGCCTAATGCCTTGACCCATCGGGAGCTATCAAAATGCCGATATCAGCCCCAAAAAAGGTGATTGATCAAGAAGGTCGTTCAAACCGAGTCGATGTAGGAACTTCGAAACTCCACTTCTTCCTCATCTTATCTTATTCTTACTTATATTGCACACTTTCCAGGAACTTGGGGGATAGCTATACTTGTTAAGCAAAGCAGGAAGGCCCGTAGCCGTAGCGTCGAACGCATTTTCTAAAGGCGGGTAACGGTAATCACGGCTTGCCGAACCACGAAACGAAAAAGAGCTCCGGATCAAGGAAAAGCCATAAGAGGTCTTTCTCTTAAGAGGCGTTTATTCGAAAGGAACAACCCCAAGAACCATATAGCTACACGTCCTGAAGCAGGAAAAGAAGCTGCTTGATA